GGAAGGCTGAGGCGGAAGGATTTCCGGAGCCCAGCAGGTCGAGGCTGCGGTGGCCGGGAGCGGCCACTGCATCCAGTCTGGGCGACAGAGTGAGACTCCAACTCAAAAAAAACCCAAAAAACAAGCAACCCTAAGGCCAGGTTCAGTGGCTCAGCCTGGAATCCCAGCACTTTGGGAGGCTGAGGTGAGTGGACTGCCTGAGCCCGTGGATTTGAGACCACCCCAGGCAACTTGGCGAGACCTCGTCTCTACAATAAATCAAAAGTTAGCTGGGCGTGGCAGCGCATGGCTGTAGTTCCGGCTACTTGGAAGGCTGAGGCGGAAGGATTGCTGGAGCCCAGCAGGTCGAGGCTGGGATGGCCGTGAGTGAGGCACTGTACTCCAGCCTGGGTGACAAAGTGAGATTCCAACTCAACTCAAAACAAAACAAAACAAAACAACCCTAGAGTGACACTTTCAGTGGTTCTCACATAGAAGAAGCTGCTGTGAGTGTGTCTGGGCTGTGCTCTGGGAGGCTGGCCCAGCAGGCCCCTCCTACAGAGCCCCCAGCAGGCCTTTCTGTGCTGGCACTCAGTCCAGGCTCCTGCCTTTCTGGGGCATCTCCGGGTCTCCCACAAGAGTCTCCTACACCAGTGCTGAGCCATCTGCCACAGAGTAAACCCAGGTATTGCCTGCAGAAGTGGGAGCCTCCCTTCTAGGCCAGTGTGTCCTGCCCCTTGGCCAGGACGCTGGGTGGGCTTCCCTGTGGGCCCATGGGCCATGTGTTGCCAGCTGACCTGTATGAATTTATTTTTTTGCTGCAGCAAAAGCCAACTAAGAACTATTCTACCTGACCATTCCCATGACAATGGGTGAGAGGAGGGTGAGCTCATACTCCCTCGTCACCATAGACTGTACTGCAAGGTGGCAGGAGTTACAGGAGTGAAGGCCACCATCAGAAAATCACCCATGTCGTCAAAATACCATCAAAGCTTTCTGCCTGTACCAGTGACATCCACTAGGCAGAGAAGTCTCTAAGCAGTTGCCTTCCAGATCCAAGATGACATCTGGACTACACAGAAGCTACAATGGGTCAAAGAATCAACAAGTGCGTGACTGGACTGTGCCTGACAGACATGGACACTCAGAGAGCCAGGAGCAGAACTGTCCAGAAGGAAAGACTGCTGTCTTTCCAGGCTGGAGAGTGCATTCTAGAAATCAAGCAGGCATCCGAACCTGCTTTGAGTGTCTGTCACTTTTGGCCACCATTTTCTTTCCCAACATTTTGTTCTCTTTTCAAAGATTCAGAAATGTTAATATTTGATAGTGAACCCCACTCCCAGGTGTTTAAGTGGCTGATCACATCTCCATCCATCCACCCACCTTGGTACGTTTCAAAGTAAACTACAGACATCAAAGCACAATTCTGCTAAACATGCCAGCGTGCATGTCATTAATGACAGCTCATTCTGAGCTTACGTTACAGATTAATTTCTACAGTGAGATACATGAATCCCGTGGATGCCAATGACGCTCTGGTGACGCACGTGCCATGGTGCCTGAACGCCACATGGCCTGTATCCATCGCAAGCCCTGCCTATTTACCGAGACTATACCATGAGCCATAATACTCTTGATTCTAACCCTGGAGATGCCTGATCTGTGGCTTGTAGGCCCCAAGTGATGTAAAATAAATCATCCTCCGCCACATGAAATATCCTGACCTCCAGCTTTAAGGGCCATAGAAATGTCACCGGGCCTTGCAGAGGGAGGTGAAGTTGCGTATTCAAACTGTGCCCTTTTCACCAATGTGATCCAACCACCTCACTCAGTGTGGTTTGATGCTTTCAAATCGAGGGTCATTCTTACCAAGGTCCTCTGCAGAATCTGGCCTATACCCTATGGACACTGACCTTCACTGGGAGCAAAGGCAGGAGGTGAAAGCAAAACCTACAACTGCTTTCCTAAAGACTCAAAGTCAACGTCCCTCTGAGGCTGACACTGAGAGTACCACCTGGCACAGCTGGAAAGCCAGCGCCTCTGGGCACCACAACAGCCCTGTCTGGGGGTTCCTGTAGGCTCAACCAGGCTTGTGTCCCACCTGATATCCCGGTCACCAGGCATATGCAGCTCGGGAAGAGCTCGCATAGGGAGCTGCTGGCCTACCCTTGCCTGCTCTACTGCATTCCGCCTGATATCCTCATCACCATACAGACATGACTTATGAAGAGCTTGCACGGGGAGCTGGAGGCTGGATCTGCTAGCCAGCTCCTCTCTACTGCCTACCAGCTTGCCATCTCCTCAGGGAATTTAAAGTATAAAGTCAAACTGAAAGTGCCGCTGTCTTCTTGTGTGAACGAGAGCTGGAAACCAGTGCAGAAGCCAAACCTCACCCACCTGCCATCCATTGACAATCTTCTGGTTAAAAATCCCAAATTCATAGCGGATTCCATAGCCATACGCTGCCAGGCCCAAGGTAGCCATCGAGTCCAGGAAACAGGCTGAAAAATCCAATCACAAAGCAAACCATTAGCAGAAGCAAGGCCACTGGCACCACACCCAGTGGGGATGTGGCCCAGGGCCTCAGACAGGGATTCAGCAGGGATTTTGACAAGATCAGACTTTGTGGATGGGACCCATCCGCACAACATGTCTCCATCCACCTGCCTATTGACTGTATCAACGCTAAGACCACCTGCTGTATCAGGGTTCATCCACACATCATGTCTCCATCCACCTGTCTGTTGACTGTATCAACCCTGGGACCACCTGACATGGCAGGGTCCATCCACACAGTTTTTCCATCTGTCCATCTCCTAATTACTGGCTTTTGGACCCTAGAAAATGGCTGGCATACTGGAGACCTCTCCTAGCACCAGCAACCTTACACTGACAAGCTTGTTCTTCAAGATAATTATGAAGTGCACTTGTATGAAAAAAATATTTTCCTCCCTTCCTCCCTGCTATCGGCAAAGATTTCAATCTGGAGAACCCGCTGCCCATCCACTTGAAGGAAGTCAATTCATCCTGATGAATTAGTGTCAGACCTTGGCCAGGGGACCGGAAGAGTCATCCTGAACATGTGTGCCTTACCCGCCAATCTTCCCAGGCCTCCGTTCCCAAGGCCAGCATCTTCTTCTATCTCCTCAAGCTCTTCCAAGTCTAATCCCAGCTGCAAACAAAAACAGAGGCAGCATTTTAATATTTAATATTTTCCTCAAATGACAGGTTGAAAGATATTCAAGTCTTGTGAGCTTATACCAAAAGATAGAGTCTGCTGTTAGACTTGAAAATCCAATGTTAAAATATAATAAATCAATGCACAGAAAGGAAAGTTCCCAAATATTTAAAAAATTGCTCAGAGTTGACAGTCCAAATTAGACATGGTTTATAAGACAAAAGTATTTCTTGCCAGGTAATTGACCTATTTATAGTGAACAAATTATAACATGTATCTCTAAAATGAAACCAACGATTTTAGTCATTTTCTAGTTTCACACGGTCTGATGATATTTACCTGACATCTTTTTAAACCAAAACCTAAAAGCACTTTTCCTGTGGTCTTCCAATTGTACCCAAACAATCTTGTGAAGCAGATACAGCATGTTAAATATTAGAAAGAAAGCCACCCAGTCACAGCTAACTTCGACTTGAAGCCATTCCAGAACACAAACTTAGAGCTCTCTCTCAATTATGGTATATGGATGAATTTTCCATTAATCTGGCTTTAGTGCATGACAAATTGATAAATTGCTCACATTATCTGGATCAGTGGTCTTTGAACTTTTTGGTCTCAGGAGGACCCAAATAAATTGTGTTTATACATGGGTTATATCAATAGTTATCAATCTAGAAGTTAAAATGCAGAAATTGTTTAAAGTATACATATGAATTCATTTTGAAATAACAATAATAAACCTATTACATGTTAAGATAAATAATAAAGTTTAATTTAAAAACTACATTTCTAGCCAGGCTCAGTGGCTCAGCCTGTAGTCCCGTGCTTTGGAAGGCTGAGATGAGTAGATTGCCTGAGCCCGCAGGTTCGAGACCTGCCTGGGCAACTTGGCGAGACCTCATCCCTACAATAAATCAAAAAATTAGCCAGGTGTGGTAGTGCATGCCTGTAGTTCCAGCTACTGGAAGGCTGAGGCGGAAGGATCGCCAGAGCCCAGCAGGTTGAGGCGGCAGTGGCCGGGAGTGGCCACTGCACTCCAGTCTGGATGACAGAGTGAGACTTCAACTCAAAAAATAAAATAAAATAAAAAATAAAATAAAAACTACATTTCTAAAGGGCCAGGTACAGTTTGGCCCTTTTTGGTGTGATGATGTTCAGAATTAACTACATTTTCTAAACAAAACTGACCATGGAACCCCATATTCTAACAAAATCTATTAAGTTCAGAGACTAATACACTAAAGACAAGTTAAGAGCAGATATCAGGAAAGATGTTTGGTTCTTTTAATTTTCTTTTTTAGAGAAGGGTCTCACTCTGTCACTCAAGCTGAAGTGCAGTGATACGGTCATAGCTCACTGCAGCCTGGGAACTCATGGGCTCAAGTGATTCTCCTGCCTCAGTCTCCTAAATAGGTAGGCTGCATAGGCGCATGCCACCATGCCTGGCTAACTAAAAAGAAATTATTTTTTGTAAAGAGGGGGTTGTGCTATGTTACCTATATTGGTCTTGAACTTCTGGCCTCAAGTAATCATCCCACCTAGGCCTCCCCAAGTACTGAGGCTATAGGCCTAAGCCACAGCACCTGCCCTCTTTCATGTTTTGATTTTTTATCTTTTTTTTTTTTTTTGAGTTGGGTCTCACTCTGTCACCCAGGCTGGAGGGCACACTCACAGCTCACTGCAGCCTCGACCTCTTGGGTTCAGGTGATCATCCTACCTCTGGAGTGGCTAGGATTATAGGCATGAGCCACCAAACCAGGCTTCCAGGCTTGCTTGCTTGCTTCCTTCCTTCCTATCAACTTATTTGTCTTTTTGGGTTGGAGTCTCATTCTGTTGCCCAGGCTGGAGTACTGTGGCACGCTCATGGCCACCACAGCCTCGACCTGCTGGGCTCAGGCAATCCTACCACTGCAGCCTTCCAAGTAGCTGGAACCACATATATACGCCACCACACCTGGCTAATTTTTTTTTTTTTTTGAGTTGGAGTCTCACTCTGTTGCCCAGACTGGAGTGCAGTGGCCGCTCCCGGCCACTGCAGCCTCGACCTGCTGGGCTCTGGCGATC